AAATTTATGAGTTATTCTTTTAACATAAAATTTTACGTCTACCATTACGCGTGTAAATATGTTATCAATATTATTTATATATCCTTTGTAAGATTTCTGAAGGCAAGGGGTTTGAGCTCAACTAATGGTATGAGTAATTTCGCATGTATATGTACAGAAGCTATTATCGATGCACACATGAAGGATGTAATGTAAAGAAGCAAGTCCAACGTCTAAGCAAAGATGAAAGTGTGGTGGTCACCACTTATGAAGGAATGCACACTCATCCTATAACAAAGCCAACCGACAATTTTGAGCATATATTGAGTCAAATGCAAATTTACACCCCCTTTTGAAGCCCATAATCATCATGTATGGCTTGTTAAGAGACATACCAACATTCTTGAATGTAACCCTTCCATATGAAACAATAAAGTTGTAACCATAGAAATGTTCTTTTTTTTTTCTTTCTTTCTTGTACTTAATTAGTTCATTAGGCAATGGGAAGGAAATTCATACCTCAATCCTCATTTTTTTGAGGTAGTTAATGGCTGATCATTTAGAGATGTGATAAAGGATCAATCTTTTTCTCTTAGACAATTTTTATTTATTGTTATTCCTTTTCATTGGCACAAGTCAAGTCAAGTAAGGATCAATTGGTTAGTTTTCTTTTTAAGTAGAGAGGTATTACATTTTCAAGGCAAATATCAAGAATCGAGCTCACAATGAGACAACGTAAGTATTTTTTACCACTAAGTCAATTAATGTATCTCAATTGATTAGTTTTATTGATTACTTGCAAAAGAATAATTATTATTTCGAATAATTGCCCGTCCAACTCAATTGGTAGAGCGCAAGGTTCTTAACTTTGTGGTCGTGGGATCAAGTCCCACGGTGGGCAATTCATAATTGCCCGAGGTCTTTCACGGAAGTTGCTCTCAACCTAGCGTTGGGGCAACCTACTACCCTACCTCCCCTTACCCCATTACATATGGGAATAGGGTCAGCTAATTTGGTTGTTTAGATATGTTACAGATATATTTCTTGAAGGTGCTCCATTTTCTCTTGCAAAGACTTTTATCTCATCAAGTTTTTGAAGCCTGCATGAGTCATTAAAATAAGGTTTAGTACTTTAAAAGAAGTTTGAGTGTATACCTCAGTCATTTTATGAAGAACTTGTCCAACAAGGTCAAGCTTTTTTTTTTGCTGAAGTTGCTACTCGATGTTAATTACCTTTTACACATCTCTTCGAGATCAACATAAGTTTGCAGGTCAAGTATATCAGGTATGGCCACTTTCAAACCATCTATAAATCGGACTAGAGGATCTTCCTCATCTTCTCAGACAGTTTCTGTTTACAAGAGTATCTCCATTTCTTTAAAATGTTCATCAACGGATCTAGTCCCTTGAACAAAACGTTGAAACTTTCTTTTGTTGTCCTTATAATACTGAGATGAAACAAATTATTTTCTCATGATTCGCTTCAACTTTTTTCAATAATTAATCATCTTCTCACTGTTCATTTGTTAGTTAAACCTTTATTCACAATCTTTTACATAAAAAAAAATTAACTGATCCTATTCCCATATGTAATGGGGTAAGGAGAGGTACGGTAGTAGTGTGCCCCCAACACAAGGTTGAGAGCAGTTTCCGTGAAAGACTTCCGTTATGAATTATCTCAGAGGGACTCGATCCTATAACCACAAGGTTAAAAGTCTTGCGCTCTACCAACTAAGCTAGACGAGCAATTCTTTTACATCATATGTTCAATCTTGATTTGGACTGTCTTGACTTATACCTTGTGAAAAGATCAGCCCATCGTGTTCGTAATGTTGTGTTTATATCTCGGTGCTCACATCAAATCTGGTCCTAGTTATTACACTTGAATTTCCATATGTTGCTTTGTATCTTTAATATACAAAGACATCAGGTATGTGCCGGCATGTTTTAACTACGAGTTTCCAATTTCACCTGCGTGTTCGAACGATCACACTTACAAACATCATACATGATAAAATTGAAGTTGTGATAATGTTTGAACCCTAAATCATAAACTCTAAACACTAAACCGTGAATTATAAATCCTGAACTTTGAACCGGAACCTTAACCTATATAACTCATAAACCCTTCCTAAATACTAATATTTGCACAAAATATTATTTCACTAAAATGTTTCCCATACAAGTATTTTTCACTGTTATGTCTATTTTTAAAACATTCTGTATCATATATAAAATAATGGCATATGAATGCTGCTCTTAAAGGTACTACTATATTCTCCTTTTCTGCTCTTAATTTCCTTTCAAAGAAGCTTTTAGAGACATAAATCTTGTGAAATAGAGGCGTATGGACGGAGCTAGGATAACAAAATCACATGGTTTTCAGAACCGGACCGGTTAGCGAACCGGTCATGCTACCGGTTCACTGTTTTAATCGGTCGAATCGGACGACGTCATAATTATTTAAAAAATTAAATAAAAATACCAAAAATATTTAATAAATTTTTTTTTTATATCACAAGTCACATTCAAAGCAAGTCATAACATATATAAGTTAAAAACCATAAAATCAAGTGAAACAAAATGATTCAAATTACTACAATATAATATTTAAGGTAAAACATATTAAATAATAAATATAATTATATAACTATAATTAAAAAATAAAATTGGGGTTAAAAAATCATAATAAAATGATATTGTTTGGTTTAATTTTTTTTAAAACAATCTCACATGGCTAAGAAACATAAGAGCATCCCAAAAGTCTAAAGAGTAAAAATATGAGAGCAAAACAATCTCACATTGCTAAAAACATAGAAGCGCATCACAACTAACTTCTATAAATAATAGAGGTAATTTGGCATTCAAAATCATAGAGCCTTTTGGTGAGCATTGAGTGAACTATTCTTTCACTTCAATCAAGCTCGAATTTTAGGCTTCAATCGAGCTTCTAATTTTTTTTTGAGTTCAAGCCTTTTTGATTTCAAGTTTCAATATTATATTTCGAGTTTGAGTTGAACTTGATAATTTTTAGCTTGTGAGTTTGAGTTGAGTTGAGCTTACTTTTAAAATTTTAAAGTTCAAGTCGAGCTCAGCAATACTCGAGTTCGACTTGGCTCGTTTAACAAACGACATTGTTTGGTTTAATTTTTAAAAAAAAAACAAAAATCCTAATTTTTCCCGATTTTTATTAATCCGGCACGATAATTTGTTAAGCATTTGTTAAGCATTTCCCAGCCCGGCACGATAATTTGTGTTATCGAACAATCGCATGACATGTGTTCCTTAAAAAAATATTAGTCATGTAAAAACATAAGACGCTTGAGGATCATAAATTGCCTTAAATACTTTAAGATGAGCAAAGTGCCACGATCTGTTTCATATGTTTTAGTTTTGTTGGAAAAATGTGATAAATTGAAAATTTTAAAATATATTTTCTAAGTGTAAAGATGGAGAATTAATAATGAATTTATTGATTTATATTTTGCTACGTAAGATCTTTACAACAATATTTCATATGCTCAAAACGATTGAATGATGATTGAGAAACTGATGTTCAAAGTGGAATACATGTGAATTGTGTTGTGTAAGGAAAATGAGAAAACTCATATCCACATTGGTGGGATATAAAATAAGGAAATAATTTATATAGACGAACCAACTTACTTGTCATTTAATCACTTCAATTGATATTGTGTCTCGTGCGCAAATGCGGGGTGTATATCCAAGCATGCAAACCCATCGGGGTTGAGGTTCACCCTCACTATATGAGCACAACGCGAATGTCTGGTCAGAGCTTGCAAATGTTGTTACCCACTACAAATTAAATAATTTCCTTAAGTGAAGCTTACCCTTTTTAATTTAAATATTGAATATGGTATGACTTGTAATTCACGAATATATTCGAGGTGTTAATTGGTTATTTTAGATTTTATTCGGATATTAGTTAATAGCTCGAATATATTATTTTCAATTTATCTCCCTTGTGGAACACTATAAATACCGTGCTAAATTACTAGGTTAAACATAGTTCAAAAACTCTTTTCTTTCTCTCTTGTTTTCGGTGATCGAATCTAGCAAGATTTTGTTCGTGATCTCGCAAGTTGTGCTACTGTACGCTGATCATATCGTTGTTGTATATTGGGAGACAAACGACCAAGATATCTCGAACATCAAGGAGTGGTTGAATATATGTCTTAAGGAAAATGCGTAGTTGCAAGCCTCAACCAGATTCAGGTTCGACATTCTGTTATTATTCGAGTTCTTTAATCTAAACTGTTTCTTCTACTTTATTAATAAAATTTGAATTTTATTTTATTTTCGTCTCAGATTGTATAACAAGTTTTGTTATTTAATTTTTTCTATTAAGTTACTCTTAGTCCAATTTTTAATAGACAAGATTAAAAAGTTTATCTATTCCTTCCCATAAACAAATAATCGCTTTTGTTTGAGGTGGAGGTGGAAGTTGAGGTATGATGGGCAGGGACGGATTGAAGGGTATCATGGTGCATTCGCACCTTTTAAAATTTTATAAATTAATTTATATTTTTTATATTTTTATATATTATCTAATTTCGTACCCTTAGAATTTTATAATTCCTCAATCTTTAAAATTTTTAATATAATTTCTTAATTTCACTTCTTTGACATAAACTTCTGCGTCTGATGGGTACCGATGAGACTGTGAGGTGATGAAGGGGTGACAAGAGGACTAAGAGGCTGACCATGGCCTCATGTTATCGTGCCATCTTCAGTAAGGACCAAACTACGATTATATTTTGGAAAATGAATGAAATATAAATTTTATTTTAAAAAAAGAAAATCACGATTTGTTATTATATTTATTACTCATTTTAAATTTGATAAAATTCAATTTTAACTTCCGAAATTCATTACCTTAAACAAATCAAAATAAAGAATGCAATAAAATTGTGAATGGTTGATACCTTTTATTGTGTACCCTTCGAATATCTTTTAACTGCCAATCTCATCTTCTTCCCTCAATTACCAGAAAATGTTTCTCATTGTATCGCAGATTTATCACGTCGAATGAGGATGAATTCAATTTTCCATTGCTTTGAGATGAGATTTGCAATAGAGCGAACAAGAGCTATTGGACTGCAGTTAGCCATTGGCGAAGAGACAAGTTTAAGAGCTTCGGCACTGTCGATTTGGCATTGGAGGCGTTCGATATTATGGGAAAACGCCAATTGAAGTCCTTCTAAAATTCCCAAAAGTTCAGCTTGAAGAGGCGTTGAAATTCCAACCGGTTTATTGAAACCAATGATCCAGTCACCATTCATATTCCTAATGAGGCCACCCACCGAGCCGTTTGAGGAAATTTTGTGAACTGCTCCATCCGTGTTAAGAGTAAATCATTCTGGGGGCGCTGGCTTCCATTGTATAAGTTCTGGTCGAGCAGCAAAGGGGTCAGGCGGGGTAACGGTCTTGGTGTCAGTGATTTAGAGGGACCAATTTTTACTTAGGCAGAGGAGTTGGTCATTTTGGATAAACGATTTCGAAAATATGAATGAATTCCTTCTCTTCCAGATCTGCCAGGTTATGGAGGAGAAGAGAACCTTCCATGAGATGCTTGTGCCTGCAAGAAGTCTGTTTGATTCAAGGTTTATCATGAGCCAATCGGATGCGTTAGTGGAGAAGAAGTTCGGTAGGGGCTGCTGTTGGAGAATCAGTTGCCAAAGTGCTACAGAGTGCTGGCAGTCACGTAGAATATGAAGAGTATTTTCATTTGCTAAGCCACAGATTTGACATAAAGGATCATCCGTAAGCTTCCTTGTGCAGCGATTGACGTTCGTAAGCAAACGATCTCTATATGAAAGCCATAGAAAAGTTTTAATTCGTTCTGGAATGGTCATACGCCAAAGCTTAGTCCATTTTATATCTTTGGGTTCTAAAAGATCCTTTGTTATAAGACCATAATCAGATTTTACAGTGAACTCACCGTGCTTGCCTTGAGGCCAGCAACATCAATCCTTGCCAACGGTTGGATTGGGAGGTTGAATATTTATTAGATACGACATTGTGGAGGGCTGGAGAAACTGTTGGAGTAAATTCCAGTTCCAATTACCGTTTGGCAAGGCAGCTTCATGGACTAACATGTTGTCTTCAATAGTAGCATGCTCATGTTTCCATTCTACGAGACGTCCAAGTTTCGACATCTAATTGTCATGCCAAAATCTGACTATAGTTCCGTCCCCTATGGACCAAGATAAGAAACTGTAGAAATTATTCCATACTTTGGATAAGGACCTTCATAAATGAGAACAACTCGGCCGGAATATAGAGGTGAGACAGTTGGAGAGCACCTTATACTTTTGGCGAAGAAGCTTAATGTAATATTTCTCTGTATCTGAGGCAATAACGTAACAAAGCTTCATATGGAAGGCAATATTATGATGTCAAAGTTTTCGAATGTCGAGGCCTCCATTTTGTTTAGGTTGAGTTAAGATGTCCCAATTAATAAGAGAAATGCCTCGATCTTGATTACTAGAACTCCATATGAATTGCCGAACTAATTTTTCAATATATTGACAAACTCGAGAGGGGAAGCGGCAAGTTTGCATGAAATACGTTGGGATAGCCATGAGCACGGAGTTAGCAAGGGTAATCCGTCCCGCAAAAGATAAAGTTCTAGCCGACCACCCATGAATCTTTGATTTTATCTTATCAATAATGAAGCTGTAGAATTCACATGTGGCTCGTTTGTGCATAACCGACATTCCAAGATAAACTCCCAAGTTATGAATTTGCTTGATGCCGAGATGGGAACTGACTGCATTTGCTGATTCTACACTTGTATTGGGCGAAAAGTAAACATGGGATTTGAGTTTGTTAACTTTGTGACCCGAGTAACGACCAAATTCTTCCAAGATATCGTCAATAAGGATTGCTTGTGCTGCAGTAGCTTTGGCATATAACACTAAGTCATCTGCAAAGAATAAGTGGGTGATAGGAAGACCTCAACGTACTAGTTTAAATGGTTTCCAAGCGCCCTCTTCAGAGGCAAGGTGAATGCGATGCCTAATTCCGCATTAAGGTTTCCATGGTAAGGACAAAAAGGTAAGGAGAGATCGGATCTCCTTGCCTAATTCCGCATTAAGGTTTAAAAGTATTGCTAAGTCCTCCATTAAATTGAACCTGCATAGAAGAAGATGAGATGCAATGTAAAATGAGACGTATAGTTGCCGGTGAAAAACCTGCTTCATAAAGAGTATCGACTATGAAGTCCCAGCGAATGCGATCAAAAGCTTTTTCCAAGTCCACTTTTATCGCCATCCAACCTTCTTTGTCTTTCTTGGTTCTCATGGAGTGAATAACCTCCTGATTAATAATTGTATTTTCAGATATGTTATGGCCTTGAATAAAGCTAGTTTGATTAGGCGCGACAAGTCGAGGCATAATTTGTTGGAGCCGTTTAACAGTAATCTTAGTGACCAACTTATATAAGACCATACAAAGACTGATGGGTCAAAAATACTTGAAGCTGGAAGGACTTGGGATTTTGGGAATGAGGGCAAGAATAGTTTTGTTCAATTGGGGATTACCACTGTATATGCTTTGGATCGTAGAGCAGACCGAAGCGCCAATAATGTCCCAATGTTTCTGATAGAAGTGTGCATGCAAACCATCAGCTCTTGGAGATTTAAGAGGAGCCATGTCGAAAAGAGCATCTTTTATTTCTAATGGTTTGGCAGTAATTCCAGATTTTGGGAAATGCCCCGAAACAGGATATGTTCCATGCACTTCATCATGAATTGAAAATAATTCCTGGAAGTAAGAGCTGACTTCTTGCCGAAGAGTATTAATATCCGAGCACCACTCTCCAGTTGAACTTTGAAGAGAATAAATTCGATTAGCTCTCCTATTGATAATGGTTTTTTTATGAAAATAAGTTGTGTTCCTGTCGCCAAATGATATCTAATCTGAGCGAGATTTTTGCTTCCATAGTAGCTCCTCTTGATCAAGGATTAATTCAAGTTCAGCTTGAAGTTTGGTCTCAAGATGCGAGAGATAATCACTATGCTTTTTTATCAAGATATTGTTGGATGCCTATTAGTCGCCCCATAACATTTCGCTTGCGATGAGAAAGCTGCCCAAATGTGTGGTGATTTCCATTGTTTTGCTGTTCTACTGAATTTAGAGATGACATGTGTAATTGGGAGAGAAGGGTCCCAACTATCAAGCATAAGTTTATGGAAATCATTGTGGAGAGTCCATCCCATAAAGTATCGAAACTGACTTTGTTGCCGCTTATTAGAGCTTTTACCAATGGAAAGTAAGAGGGGTCTATGATCAGACTTCATTATGAGGAGGTGGTAAACCAGTGTATCAGGATATGCAATAAGCCATTTATCATTGCATAGACATCTATCAAGGTGAACAACACAAGGTCCTCTATACCAGGTGAAGTCGGGTCCTTGATAACCAAGATCATGTAGACTTGAATCAAAGACAACATTACTGAAGTCTTGATCCGATGATGGGATTTTAACACAACCTTTTCGATTATTTGGAGATAAAGCAGCATTGAAATCGCCTAAGATAATCTAAGGCTCGGTAATGTGGTTGGAGAGCAATTGGAGGTATGACCAAAGAGTTCTCCTTTTAGCATGATTTGGACTTGTGTAAACAAAGGTGACAAGAGCGGAATGGTTGTTGGACTTACAGTGGATCCTGCAGTGAACAAATTGAAAGTGACTGAAAAGAACATCAACTTGAATGTGATCATACCAACAGATCCAAATGCCGTCTGAGAAACCATCAGCATCGACTCTAAAAGAGTTCAGAATTTTGAGTTTAGAAATAGCTTTGTCAGCAGCAGAACTGCTTATACGAGTTTCAACGAATCCGATAATATCCGTTGAATGGTCTCGCATGTATTTCTGAGTAACGCGATTGAAATTCCGGTGTCCACAGTCTTGAGTGTTCCACAGCCTTGAGCGTTCCACATAAATATATTGAGATACATAAGTAAAAGGTAGTGTGAAGAGGGAAGACAAAAGAGCCTATTATTCTATCATAGTCTCGGTTTCTTTGCCAATTGCGGGAGGCACTAGCGCTTCTGTTGGGGTGCGGGGATTATCTCCATCTATTAGTTTCACAACATGGTGCTTGTTCGGGTCAAGATTTTCAGTCGAATTCAATCGTGGTAGATTGGAGGAAGAAGCTCCATTAACTGCATTATGTGATCCTTGCATAGGGGCTTTGCTAGGTGCATGCAATTTGACAGGTTTACCTCCGAGGTGAACTTGCTTCTTGGGGTCGTTAGGGACAGTTGGGGTTTTCTTTGGATTTGTTGGAGTCTTGTCCTTCAATTTGTTTTTGTCTATAGGAGTACTCATTGGTTCAGTCAATGGTCTAGATTCAGCGTTCAAAGGCAATGCTGATGATGAAATCGTGGATTCCGCTTCAGTCACCTTAGATTTTGATTGATTTTCCTGATTATTAGGTATAATTTCAAAAATGGGGTTTGATTTTGCTATGATGGGGCTGGAATCATGGACCAATTTCCTTGTAGGATTAACAGTCCTTGAATTTCATTTTTTTTCTTTCTACGAGCATCCAAGGCCCGAATGCTTCGTCCGAGGCTGATTTGTCGGAAGTCAGAGGTTGCTCCGGAGGAACCTCAGTCATTGGTTGAACATTTTTCTGCGCTAGTAGCTGTGGACAAATATACTTGTGATGACTGTAGCCACAATGAAAACAAACAGTGGGAAGCGATTCATACTCTATAATTTGAAGGCGGCCATTGATAAGGAGTTCGGATACTAAAGGTCGATGAAGATTGAGGCTAACGGCTAGGCGCGCAAATCGCCCCCTACAACCACTATCCGATTGGAAATCAATTTTGATCACAAAGCCAACCTGATTTCCAATTGCTTCAATGAAACTCCTTTTGTATAGAGTTACTGGGAGACCAGGTAATCGAATCCATGCCATGAGACGGCTAGGATAATCTTGATTCGGCTAAAAGTCAATAGACCATGGCTCAACTGTTAAGTAATGCCCGAAGATAGTCCAAGGTCCTTCTGTGAGTACCTTTAAATAGTCACCATAATTGCTGAACTTCACAAGGAAGTAGTCATTCTCATATGTCTATGAGTTTGAGAGGAAAAGAAGGCTTCCAGATTCCGTATATGCGGTTGTGCAGGGTATTGTAACCCACTCTTCGACCAAGAACTTTAACTACGAGTGTTAAATCAATGCTTTTAATGGCAAGAGATTGGACTCGTTCGGAAAAATCTATGGTTGGAACCCCATTAGAGGAGCCAAGGGTGATATCCTCTTCAAGTAGTTCGATATCATCATCATCAAGATCAATCGTTTTTGAATCCAGTTGGGCAACTTTGGATTTTGTCACGGCGTCCTTGTAAGAGATAGCAGGCGAGGAACCATCACACTCCATCAGAGAAGCGGCAGCATCGCTTGCTATGGCTGAGGGATCTGGCGGATCTTCATCCCTACGTCTTTGCTTTTTGGGGAGTCTGGTGTCGGCGGAAGAAACTTCAAAGGGTTTCATGAGCGGCTAAAGTATAAATATCGTCACTTTGTACTCAACTTTAGCTTAATAAAAAAATATGATAAATAATTATATTGTTTAAATCTTTATTCATATTAAATTCTCACTTTAAACTTAAACAATCTTTTCTATTTTTCTCAATCAAAATAAAGAAAGAAAGAAATAAACTGTTTTCATTATATTGCTGCTAACAGTGATTCATGGAAGCAGTGATGGATCGAGGGAGCTATCGGGACGGTCAAATTATGAAGATTGAATGCGTTAGATATGATATAAGAATCAATGATGGTTTTGTTTTGATATATGCCTAATGCTTTCATCTGCGATATAGTGCAGCATTTGGATTCCAGTTCAACAAGATCTATGACATGATCAACAGATACTTCAGATGAGGACAAATGAATGAACTGAGAAGCCATTTTCAATGAAATACTAAAAGAACAAGAAGTAAAAGAATTAAAATCATAGATGCATTATACGGAAAACAAGTATCAGATGTTGGTGATATCAGATATACGGCCAAATGTGATATTGGTACGGCTCAATCAGACTAAATAACTCAGTCAGTAATGAGAGATTTGATCCGACTGAACCGTGCCAACATCGAATTTTCAAGTCAAGTATCAAGCATCATGCAGCCAGAAGCACACAGTCTCACCATCGTTGATCAATGAAGCAGAAAATTCCGGAGAAAAAGGAAAGAACAGACGGTATTATATCAGAAAGTGGTGGATTACTATAATAAAATATAGAATGGTTAGGGTTTCCAAATCTATGCCTTATATAGGAAAAAATGAGCTGTTTGTAAAGAATTTTGCATTATTTGATCCAGAACAGAAAGTTTGATTTCCTTCTATTACACCTAATTTTGTTAAAAGAAATGGATAAAGAACATTAGCTGGAGAGGACCCTCATTTTATAAAGCTATAATATGCTTCGTAATCATCAAAGCATGCATCATCATTGCTGAAGCTATTTCACCTAGCAATTTTCAGGTGGAAATTTAGCTTGTTATGTATCCATATGTTAAGGTGTTTTCTATCAATGAACTTGGCTGTTTTTCTCTTTGTGATAAAGCTATGGACAAATGGAAAATACAATTATGGTTTTGTCCCTTCACTTAGTATAACATTATTTTTTTTTTTTTGCCTCCCAATTCGTCAAGCTTTTGTTATGACTAATTCGGTTCAATTTTTATTGTACATCTAGTTTTAATTGGTGAATCTCCCAACGGGTTTTTTTTACATATACAATGTCTCAAATTCGAGACCTACATAAATAATATTAAGCTTATTACCACTTCAACCAACCAATATAATTGTATAATAATTATGGAAAGAATAAAAGAGTAAGAGGATTGTATATGAATTCATTAATCATGAATTCAATTCTTAATGAATGGTTTCAATTTATTTTATTTAAATATTATTAAATATATGAAAAGATAAAAATATTTTGATAATAATTTTAATTATATTTTAAAAATTATTTATCTTTTTCTTTTGTTGCCCTCCCGGTTTTCAAGGCTTTGCCTTGACTAATCCGTGTTGACCCGGGTCGCACACCTGGTTGTGGTGGGTGAGTCTCCCAACATGAATTTTCTGCATACACAATGACTCAAACTCAAGTCATGCTTAAATGATATCAAATTACTTACCACTTGAACCAATATCATTGGTAATATTTTATCTTTTTCTAATCAAGTTAAAAACTATCTCTCTTAAAAGTTTAAATAAAATATAGATACAAACAGATGCAGACGCAGTGTGTTTACCATAGTGTTGAGGTTTGATCTGTCCATATCTGAGCCTGTCTTGCTAAGTAAGTTGTGGAAGAGCCTATAATTGTGGGCCTCCTTTTGTGTTGGGTAATTAATGTTTTGTCTAATCTGATATTATTGGGTTTATGAGGCTTGTTTAAACTTTAATGTTACCTTTTATAATTAATCAGACAATGATAGAGATAGAGAAATAAACTATTATATTCCATTAGCTAATGATTCAAGTCCTTTCTTTTGTGATTAACGATTAGTGTCAGTTTTACCATTTTATCTTTGTGGACCGAGGAAAAAAGGGACTCAGTAGGAAGAAGATTGTACATTGAGAAAAGAACATATATTTAGATGTGTTGCTATATAGGTATGATATTTGAAATATTAAAAATTGAAGAAGAATTTTTCAAAAGAAAAAAAATTGAAAGAAGAATCCATTGAACGAACTTAGTGGTTGAAGGAAGTGTTGTTGTACTTAAAGATCTCGAATTTGAGTAACCATGTTTACAGGGTATGTGCTCGTTATTAAAAAAAATTCAAAATAGCTACTAGCTGGAACCAGAGAGGTTTATCTCTAAAGTCATAAGAAAGAGCAAATCGCAGAGAAGAAACATATATTCTACTGGGTAGGTTCCACTGTTTCTGCCCAACTGATAAGACTAATCACTTTGCCATTTGGCCACAGTTGCAGGCTAGCGGTTCATGCATACAATTATACAAAATGAACAATATTAAATTCATATCTATAAATCACGTACTTATTATTTTATAAGTGTCCAACTTCTTTATATACATGTATTCCAAGAAAGCATAATCTGCTTTACAAAGTTCCCATATCCTACAATGGTTTTCAGAAATGTTTCCCCAAATCATTAGATATAGGTAAAATTATGCATAATCTTGTACCTAACCAAAATTATTCTCCTACTTATTTAGTTGAGGGACCACAAATTATCAGAATTCCCATGTTTACCTGAAATCTCTGTAACAAAACAGTGCACAAGCAACTATTATATAAAGCCACTTACTCTTCATACTCAGTACTCGCCATTTGATTTAGTGATCTGAATTCGAATAACAAGAGAAGTATACGTCCAACCGCAAAGGCAGAGGGTTCATCAAGGGGAAGCTGACGCCGCTGTACCGAGCGGTCAAGCCGGCAGCATCTTCCATGCAATACATCACCAAGGTCAAGCCAAGCCAGGGTTCTACAACTGCAACAGCTTCGGTCGATTTTCGGGTTCGCCGGGACTATATGATTTCACAACCAAAGAGGATCTCGTTCGTTGTTCCTACCGACAAGAACCGAAGAAAATTTAAGCCATGTCGACAATTTCTTTGGCGTTGTCGGCGACGAAAGTGTTGATGTTAAGGCTGCAATTTACGTCTCTTCTGTTCAAGAACGTTACAAGCTTGAAAACCAACTTTGAACTAACTAATCTCCCTAGAAATTACTCACTGAAACATCGATGGATAAAGTTCCTTATTGTGCCCCATTTAGTTAATAAATTCCTTTGCCAGTTCAACGATCTGTAATTGTTTAGCTTTGGACAAGACTTGATAGATGTAGGTGGTTCAAGCAACTATGTAATTAATCTCTTGTGTACATGCTTATGTTCTTTACTTGTTCTTACTACAATAATTACATGTTCAACAACTTTATAACCTGCGTTCTTCATTATTTATTATAGTTGATGACATTAACATCGATTATGTCCAAACATAACATGACTGAAACCGCTATCGAGACTTGAGGATGATGATATACTTAACCATGGAAGATAGCCTTAAAAGTTTCTTCTCTAACCAAATTGTCTCCATGGTACATAGGACCTACACAAATTACAAAAAACAAAAAAAAAATCACAAGGAAACAAGATTTTAAAGCAAAGGCTCAACTTTACACGTGCCGGTGCAGCTGCTTTACAATTCGTTTCTTTAATAAAAGGCAATAAAGCAATCTAAAAGAAGCCTTGAAAATAAAACAATATATCAGAGGCCAATGGAAGAAGATGGCGTTCTCCATAAAGCAAACCCACTAACGTTTCCATACCTTACCTCACCATTGAACTTAACCCCTTCTTTCTCACTAAGTTTAGCATCATCCCCCCCTCCTTCGCCACCAAGAAAAACATATTACTTCCATTTCCACCCCCTACATAATAGAATGCACACATCTCCATTTTCCCATTTGTATTGGAAGACAAGTTCTCAAACATATTCATAAGTTTCGCATTGCTACGGAGCTACCGAAGGCGAACTAGAGAAGGGAAAACAAGGGAAAACAGTAAAGAAAGTGAGGAAAATGAGTGCAGATTGGGGACCGGTGATTGTTTCGGTAGTTTTATTCATACTATTGTCACCAGGGTTGCTGTTTCAGCTGCCATCGAGGACAAGGGTGATAGAGTTTGGTAATATGTGCACGAGTGGGATAGCTATCCTGGTTCATGCAGTCATATACTTCTGCATAATCACTATCTTGATCGTTGCTATCGGTATTCACATACACATTAACTGATCCAAACTCTCAAGAAAAAAGGGTACTTGTTCGGTTTTTCTCTTTCATTGGCTCTCATTTTTTTTTACTTAGATGAAGTTCATGTTCTAGTTTCTTTCATGCTATAAACCAAATTTTCTTTTCCTTCACTATTTTGTTCATTTTGGTTTGCAAGAGAAATCTTGACACCAGTGTAATAATGAAAGCTATTTCATGACAAGCTGGTTCAATTTGTATGAAATTTATTCAGGCTAAACATCTTTGGTAATTCAAATTTGTCTCTGTCAAGTATTTTTGTTTTACTTCACAGTTTCTAGCGAACTTAAAGCTCAATTATTTATGAATTATCATATTATCAAGCAATAGAAAAGCACTGAATCCCAGCATCCAAAAAACAAAGGTTTTAACATAATATAGCAACCACAAACAGGTCGACCGCGTTTAATTTATTCAGATGGTGAAAGTTAAGAAATTGGACAAAGATAATTAAATCCCAATATTAAAGCCCTTCTCTTGAAAGATATGAAAGAAGTAAGCTTTGGGTAATAAAGATATGTGCCACAAACTGAAAGAAGCTAATACAAAGATTGATAAATAAAGTAAAACCCAACACGGATCTTGAATCTCACCGGGGAACTCAGCCAGCGTAGATATGGAGGTGGACTGCAATAATCAAAACAGCATAGATGGAGAAGAAAAGAAGAGTGTGGATAGCAATGGCCTTGCCATTAGTCTTCATGCTCCCAAACTCCAGCTGCTTGTTGTTCCCAGGGAATGAAAACAAAAGTCCTGGTGATAGCAGCACAAACAACACCACCCCAATGACTACAGGTGCCCAATCTGCCATTACAAGAGAGTACCGTCACTTCAAATCTAGACTCGTCCAGGCCTAAAGAGGTTCAGAAACCAGTTCTAAGAGTTGAGATGAAATTGTGGAAGAGAAGAGTGAAGAAGATGAGTTCCTTTCAAGGTCCGAAGTGATGGTAAGTGGAAGCCATTTGTAAGCACAAGAAAGACTTGGGCAATGGGTGTGGCTTTGTCTGGGGTCGGTGCTGAAGTCTAATTCTAGCCATTAGATTTAGTTTTGTCCATTTCTTGATTATTGGAATTCGGATTAGGATTAAAGTGATCATTTAGTCAACGGTGATGGAGCATCGATTACAACCAATAAATAGTGGAATACAATGTACTGAAATTGATTGCAGAGAAGGATGGACATCAACAGAAAAATTATGTTTAATAGATCTTCGTTCGAGGGTATTTTGTGTTTTCATATGTAATGAAGTATTTTATTTAATGAAATATGAGGTACTATTTCCTTCCTTCCTATGTTCGTTAGTATATTTCTTAATATGTGGACGAATACGAATAGAGTTTTTAATGAGACCTTCAACTTTTATAAAAAAAACAGAAATATTTTGCCTTCCCTTATCCAACAACAAGAAAAATAGAAAAAACAAAAAATGGGAATAATTTAAATTAGCTTTATGAGATTCTCATTCCCTCTATAATTGTCTTAAAGTCACCAAAAAATTATGCCTTTTTTTTTCTTCTGTTTATGCTTGTTTGATTCTTCAATATTTGTGTCAACTCTTGGCACTTGAGGAGCTCCTCCATTCATATCCAGGAAGTCGAAAACATTAATTTGAAGCCATATATAGAAAATGAATGACTGGGCTGCTCCACTTATAGCAGCAGGGCTGTTTGCATTTCTTTCACCTGGTTTACTGCTGCAAATCCCTGGGAAGCATCACCCCATTGATTTTATGAACATGAAGACTAGTGCGGCCGCCATTTTTGTTCATGCAGTTCTCTATGCTTTGTTCCTCATCTTGTTCCTTGTTGTTCTTCATGTCCGCCTGTATATCTAAAACAACAAACAGGGTTCCTTTTTGTTCTTCGTTTTGTTACTGTGTTGTTTGTAAGTTCTAATCTGTTGTGTGAGCACATGAAAATCTTGAGAAATTTTAGGATCTTTTAATCAGTCTTTCGAGACTATGTTAACAATATTCTTTGATCTTGAACTTGTAAGAAGAAATAACAGTAGCTTTAAACAAAGCAAACTTACTAGCCTTAGCGCTTCCAGTAAACTGCATGGTAAATGACAATTGACAAGAACGCATCAGCTATGTTACATATGTTTTTGTCTTGCTCTCATGTGTGTGTGTATATAAATTCATCAGTCTAGTTTCAGATTATGGTTTCTATAATCTGTTGATCATATTTTCCAAGAATGGGCATGCAAATTGGATAACCTTGAGAAATGTTAGCTTAATCATGAAGAATCATGGTAATTATTACAGGGAAATGTCCTGTTCTAAGCATAATAGTCAAGTCGACAAGGAAAGAAAGCTATATAAACCTACCGTTTTCATGTGTTCTCTCTTATGTCAAATCAGCTGATTAATACATAGGATAGGGGGAAATAAAAGAAGAAAGAAACCTGTATCTTTTCTTTCCCAATGGGATCAAATCCTTTAACGATAAGAGGTTTATTGAATAAGATTGTATTTGTATTTGTTTGTTTATTTTTAAAATTATGTGTTCGATTTAAAATTTTATTATCATGTTTGTGTTTGTTATTTAATTTTAAGGTATTGAATAAATATGTTTGTTTAATGTTTGTTCATATGTAATGTTTATTACAAGTTAAAAATGGTAAAATTATACTACTGATATTTAAACTCTTTAAGTTTCATAGTTTAAACTCAAAATTTTACCATATTTTTAATTTAGTCTCTACATTTATCGATATTTAAAATGTAAAATTATAAAAAGTAAACAAGCTTATAAACGAACTTGTTCACTAATATAAACGTTCGAGTCGTTAAATGAGTTTGTTCGTAAACATATAAATGAACCGAATTCACCACTATTCGTGTTCGTTCGTTGATTAAATGAACATAAAAAATTTGTTTATACTCATTTATTAAACTTAACAAACGAACATAAAAGAACATTATAGGAACACTTCAAGAACATTTCATTTGATACTCTGTTCATTTACATCTCTAGTAACGATATAATGATTTTAATTTAAATGTGAGCATTAAATATGAATATATATTTGGTATTTTAAAAAATATTTCAGAAGGGTCATATATGCATAAAACACAAATATTTCACAGGATTAATTAACTATGAAAGCTTAAAGGAAGAAAGCAAAGCTGAAGAAATCTTAAAGAAGTTTTATATCAGCTAACCATGTAGTGTAGTAAGACAGTATTAGATCCCCAAACCAGAAAGCAATTTGCAAGGTTAATGAGAACAAAATCACATGACAAACAAAACATCGATGTAATATTAACTTTGGTGCAGAAACAGAAAAGAAGAGACTAAATTGACAGAACTAACATTCCAGAATTTTAGACTGCAAAGTAAAAGATGAACGCTTGAATTTTGGTCAGCTATTAACCAACATACATGTGGATACCAACAGCTAAGAGCAAGATGCAAAGGAGTACAAAGTAAATTACGGAATGCACCAAAATGGATAGTCCACTGGTTTGGAAGTTGCCAAACTCAACGACCCGTGATCTTCCCGGAACCTGAATCAGCAGCCCCGGTGTTAGCAGTATGAACAGCACCGCCGCCACGAAAACCGGCCCCCAATCCGACATCTTTTGTCGCCCTTTGTGTTTCTCTTGGCAACACTAGGAAACCCTTTACTGTTAACCACTTGGAGTTGGTGGTATGATCCGATCTATGATGAATATATGGAGATACTTTGAGATGGAAAAGGAAAAAAAGAAAAGGAAAAAAGATGGCTATAATGGTATGGTGTTTTTCTTTAGGAAGAAGAGACAAAGGGTTTGATGACTAGGAAAGTTAAGGTTAGCGAATCAAGCTGCTAGGATTCACATTTTTCTTGCTTTTTGTTGTTTCTATCGTATGCACTTTGCTGTAAAGGATAATGCTTTCATCTCTTGATCATGGAATTCTGTTTTTCATTTTCTGACATATTGCATCAAGTTCAGATTAACTACACAGCTACTCGAACTCGAGATCTTTAAGGAGAACAACATTATATTTTATCGTTCAAAAAGTTCTTATAATTAAAGTTTGAATACATGCGTATGGATGACTTTTTTAGAATCATCACAAACAAGGAAGCAAACCTCCATTTTTTCCTCTCACAAAAGACATACAGATATAAGTTTATAAACTCAATCAAACTCGTGTTTAAATTAAATAAACCGACACCCATTTAATTCTTTATTAAAAATAAGTTTAATTTCTAATAAGGATATGGTTAACTTTTTTATTTTATTGTCAAATGTTCCTTCTTCAATAATTAAAGGCTATGCAGTTAACCCTTATCTGTCCAGCTTGACCGGTCTTAACTCCAACCCTTCCAAAGTTTCCTTATTGCTGCAACAAAAGCTCCATCGAAATTCCCAGGGTTATTAGCAAAATCAATCACAGTAGCTTGAGATGCTTTATTAGTGAAGAGCACTTCATCTGAAGCAAACAAACCCATCTTGTTAACTAGATTCTTGAAATACGAGTTATCGAAAGTTCGTGGGGTTACAGGATCCATGTTGATGGCGATTAGAGGGTCAACATCTCGAGGGCAAGGTTGCATCAACTGCTGTGCATAGGTCGCATTGAGATCCGGATCGACAGGCGACGATGGAGAAAACGAGTATAACCTATTCGCAAGCAAGTGCAGTGAGCGAAGCCTAAAGTATGAGCTCCTGAGAGTGCAATCATATCGGTCTGATTAAGGTTGTTCTTGGCGAAAATGGCGTTGAGTGAGATTGAAATTAGGCTCTGGTAGATTCCCTGCTACTCTAGATGCCACTGAAATAAGGCCATCACGTCGTCCCAATTCTACTTTGAATGAAGGGCCTCCAGCCTACAATTAGGACACATGAGTTCTGTTTTGCCATAATTGTAACAAAGAATCAGAGGCATTATTCCTCACCAGTTCTATAACATCCCTGGTAGCAATGGCAAATATATCAGCGCACGAAAGACTACTCGCGGGAAACTTTTTCCGACTGCCGCCTTAGCCTTTATTACGGTATCGAAGCCGTCTCCGACCAACGAAAGATTATCCGGAGCATCCTTCTCGGCATCCCCTTTCGGTGAAGCAATCATCACCGATGCATCACAACCCTAGAAAAAAGAAAAACCAGACATGCTTGTTGGAACTATTACATACAAAAGTTTACATGCTGTAAGACATGAAAGCAAAATCCAACCTCAACAAAGCAATCATGGAAGAACAGACGCAGGGTTGCAGGTATTGTGACGAATGTCTGTTTAATCTTCTGTGCCACCACTTGTCTTATAATGGATTCCACTCTCGGACAACTAGTGTTGTAAAATGTCTCGGATAACTGTCCCCGTCCCCTCGGCATTATCATGCAAACTAGGAATAATATCATCAACACTGTCCTCGCCGCCATTTCTTTTGTCTTGTCTCTAGATTCACAACTCAGTCGATTCAATCATATAAAATATTATTTTATCTCGTTGACCGGAATCACTCATTCTGTATTCGTGAATCCAACAACACAAGAAATATATCTTTTAAATGCGTTGACAAGCTGTTGAAGTTTATGCATAAGAACTTGAAGATTATCAAGAAGATACAAAGAGATGTGTTATTAGCCAAGACTACTCAGTACATTTATACACAAGTTCACAGCCTTAACAACCTCATAACTGCTTCTAACCACTCTAACTAATTAACCAACTGCACACTAATTGCTTGCACACACACACCCCAAACCATACTGCACACACACGCACATAAGCATGTAATCATGCTCCAACATTCTTCCCGTCCTTCTCAGCTGTTCGCTTTTCTGCTATCTGAACTTTCTAACGAAACAGCATGTGCGCTGACTTAGCCAACAGTTTGGTCATGCCATCCGCAACTTGATGCTCTGCTGGTACGTAATTTACACGAACAGCCCCACACTCAACTTTCTCACGTACAAAGTGAATATCCAACTCTATATGCTTCGATCGTGCATGAAATACCGGATTCGCACTCATGGCAACATCACTCGTATTATCACTCCATACAACCGGAGTTGTATCAACCGCTTCACCCATGTCTGCTAACAATGACTTAACCCAAACCACCTCAGTAACGGTATCCGCAATACTACGGTATTCAGCTTCTGTTGTCGAACGAGCCACAGCCTTTTGCCTCTTCGCACTCCACAAGATCAAATTGCAGCCAAGAAATACACAAGAGCCAGAAACCGACCGCCGATCATCGACGTTACTAGCCCAGTCAGCATCCGCAAACGCAGTTACACAACAAACTTCAGACGTAGAAGAACGTCTAAATACCAAGCCACAGTCAAGCGTTCCATTTAAGTAACGCAATATTCGCTTAACAGCCAACCAATGACCATCACAAGGCCGATGCATGTACTGAGCCACACGATTAACGCTAAACGCGATATCGGGCCTCATATGACTCAAGTATAATAAAGAACCAACAATGCTTCGATATAACCATGCGTCTGAGAGTGGCTTCCCAGCATCAACAGTCAATTTTGGCAAAACCACCATCGGCGTAGGTGCAGGCTTAACAGCAAGCATACCAGTTTGTTCCAGCAGCCCTCGAACGAACTTATGCTGGCTCAGTACCAACTGCTCAGAAGTCCTATGGACTTCAACACCAAGAAAATACCCCAGCTCCCCTAAATCTTTCAAGGAAAACTTGTCACCAAGCAAGCGTACAACCTCATTAATAGCAACATTAGACTCACCAGTTATGATAATGTCATCGACATAAACAAGCACCATCACACGAACACCACCCGTTCGACGAACAAACAACGACACATCAGCTGTGGTTCCACAGAACCCAAGCTCCAGCAAAAACTTACGCAGCTTAGCATACCACATACGTGGTGCTTGACGCAGCCCATACAAGGCCTTCTTCAGCCTACACACCAGCCGAGTACCATCACTGGCCACTCGTT